CAGCCCTTCTAAGTGACCCACCAGCGTCTTCGTTGTCCATGCCTGATCGTCCGTCCGTCCCCTTGTCCCTCTTTGTTCAGGCTTTCCTTTCTCTCTGCCCCAACATCACATCTTGTCGACCCGCGTTGAGTTCATTGATGACGCAAGAGTCCCCCTCTTTTCACCCATTTTCATCCTTTATTTCACTTTTTGCTTTTATTCTCCACTTTTTTTCCTACCTCTACCTCTGACTAGTCCTATCTCCATCTCATTATTAGACTTAAAGTATGACGCATGATTTATGGGCGGTTGGGTATTAAGCGAGTTACCACAGCAATAAGGGCCCTATTGACCTATCATTTACATACATATTCAACCTATATATATATATATATATATATATATATATATACATATATATATGGATCTTTCTACATACCCTTCCGCCTATCCACATGTATGTCTATTTATTTATCTGGATTTATATATATTCGTCCAGTGATGTTCTGAATCCTTTTAAAAATTTTGTCCTTTTTGTTTGATATTTTGTCATTCGCATGCTAGTGATGCACGCAATGAGCAGCATTACGCTAACGTCTCCGCATTGTCTGAGCCCCTCTTTTCTTCTGCTTATGCTCCCCCAAGCTCAATGTTTTCACTTTTCTTTATCCCTTCGCTCGACTCCCTCTACATCCTGCAAAGGTTGCCTCAATATTTGGCTGTCCTAGCCTGCACAATTTGGCTTCATCACGCCGTCAGCCCAAGTATGTTGAGCAATGAGGGCTTGCGAGTCCGAAATAGGGCAAATGCCAAGTCTGCTTGACCGTCTGACTTAGCAACCCTATTTGATAAAGATTCGTAGTGGGCCAGCTCGCCAATTTCCTTATCACTTCTTCCACCTTGACGCCAGTACCATTTAACCGGAGTCTCAGTAAAATGTTGCGAGGACGTAAGGTCCCAATATTTCAAAATGTGTGATAGATAGACATACACATCACATGCACACACAGGCAGACCAGCAGGCTAACCGACAAGCCCAACAAAAGGTAGTGGGAGCTGAGTGGGGAACTAGGATGATAAGGAAGAAACAGAGACAAATATTCACCCAAAAAGATATACAAACATGCATACATACACACATACACACATACACACACATACAGACATACAGACAAGCAAATATACCGATGTGCATAAATGCCGGAAAGTTTGCCATCAAATTAACCAAGTTCTCCGACAATGCTTAAGCATGTCATCCGCAAGCCGACCGAGACATTCACTCATTCTTACTTGAATCCATCACCTCGCCGCATGCCAATAAAATTGTAATATATGACTTGCGAAACATCAGAACATAAAACAAAAATGAAAATATTCCTTCATCTGATTTGTGTACTTTTACTGGTCTCTGTTGGCCGTCCATTTCTGCGCCATCTATGCTCCAACAAAGAACACTGATGCAATTTGTGATTTTTCATGGGCCCGTAGGGCTGATTGACGTTATCAGCTGTGCTCAGCTGTGATCCGACCTGAATAGACAGCCTCACGCTCTGCCGTGGTGGAATGCTCTTCTCTCTGCCTGTATTCACCCCTCTACGGTTGCTCCGGCCCCTCCAGCAGCCGGGTCCAAAGTAACTTTGTGACCGTCTCGCCCGCATCACGCCACAGGCACCAGTCCCTCTCGGATAATGCGAGGTCGACTCAGCCGGTCTGGTTTGGCCTGTCCGGGGGGGTCCCGGCCCAAGGGTCCGCCTCATATTGCTCCGGACTCACTATCTCCTGTTGATCTGGTTTGCCCTGTTTCCAACTGCCCTATTCCAGCCGCCGGCTCAGTCACCGCCTCAATCATCGAATGCAGCACATGGATACACACACGCACAAGCATGCCCACACACACACACACACACACGCAGGCCACTTATCTCTGGGGCTAGAAATCTGGAATTTGCCCATTTGCTCAGTGTGAGGTTTCTGTAAATACACTGACTCTGTACGTTCTTTATGCCCCGGAAGTTATATCCTCCTCCGATCTACCAACAAGCATACTTAACGGCAAACAGGCCCCTTGGGTATACGCGTTATTTTAGTATAAACGATTGTTCAGACTCATTCGAGTTTACCATGCTTATGTATGTATATGCGTGTACACATACATATATAAGCATATACAAATGTCATTTTTCCTTTCACAACACATCGGCTGAATACAATTTGTCAATGTATTTTAAGGCCTTAAATTTTGGCCCGTTTCTCAATAGGCTATCCGATCTCGCCTTCTTCACATCTGCCCCTCTCACGCTCAACTCCTTTCTCATCTCACCTCCGAAAAGCTAAGTGTGATGGTTTCGGCTGTTGACAACTTCATGCCGCCGAACAGAAGAACCTTAACAATCCATTTAAACTCAAACAGGGTACTGTTGCATGTGTCCAGTTTAGCAGTCAGACAGACAGACAAGCAGTCAATCAGTTGGCCAATTAATCAATCAGACAGAGAGAGGCATACATTCACAGACTCTGAAAGAGTATCACTTGAACAGTACAGCTATTTGTTGAACCAACCACAAATAATATAATTGTTGTCTCTGTTGTCCCAACCTAGAGGGCCAAACAAAAGACCAGTTAAGCTGTGCACTGGACCCTCAGACCTATATTTCCCAATTTGGATCATCGAACCCTTTCCTTGCGACCAATTCATTCATCATCTTTACTCTCCATATTATGCAAAAGGCATAACAAACTTCTCTTAAATTGTGACTTAGAGAAGATACTTATACATGCGTGTGCTTTCATAAATCATAAGTTGCATGTTTCTACGAACTGACGCTCGAGATCCTGGAAGCTGCATGACATGAGCTCCTGTATCTTCCTTCCATCTTCGCTGTGTCTATATGAAGATCTCGCTTTCGTTCGCTCCGTTCATCAAATACTCAAACCAAATCACATGCACACAAATTAATCTGACCACGAAACTATAGCAAACGAAGAACTCCAGTCTAGGTGTTTAAGCCTATTCTATTTTACTAATCAAGTTTTCATTTGAAAAACAATTATACATACATACATACATATATATATACATATATATATATACACAAATAATCTAGCATATATACTGAAAGACTATTTTTGGCTAGGTGGACAGCGAAAGCATCGAATCGGTCCATAAAACATCTCCCAAGCATTTTAATGCCTCACTCTAATACATCTTTATCAACGCTTCAGGTAACTCCCTTGTGTCATGAATAAGAGTGCATTTTCCCAAACTCCATTTCGTGAATTTTCTTCATTTACGTCGTCTCATATTTCGGTTATTCCCGAAAGAGTTCTGCCTCAATTTGAGGGCTGACACACAGACGTGCGCTTCGTACCTTCTTGAGTGTTAATTTTGAATTGACGATGTGTAACTGAGGCAGTCGTCTATCTCTTGCAAATCATGCTTCAGCCTATCTAAATTGTATGATGGTTTATGCATTCTGGAAAGCTGCAAAACATACTAAAACTTTTAAAAATATATTTCTACGCAACTTAAATGCTAATTTTATGATTTCGAAATTTATATTCACAATTGTTGCTATCTCGTTGATTTTTTCTTTTGTTTTTCAATGCGAGCTGTCACTGTAATTTGGTACTCCAATTAAAAAACCTCAAGTGTTCAGTTCACCTTTGCCTTCGCCCATAACTAGACTGAATGAGATCATTTTGCGGGAGCACCAAACTGCCCTTGCTAGCAGCAAGCTATGGACAACAATCACTTGCCTTTTCCCCATCTTCTCACGTGCTCTATGGCTCCTTTGAAGCGTAACGGCGCACACTTGTCACTTTCAATGCGGGTGAAACTTGAGATGGTCTTTCGCTTGAAAATACACACCTTCCTACTTTTTTCTACTGGCCAATGGCTGTAATATTTTCTGAACATTTATGTGAAACTCGCTCAAGTTTTTGCTTTATATTCCTATTTAAGCGTGCACTTCTGCAAGTGGTCCAAAAGGTTCCTTCGCTGTGCTTTCACTTTTTACCTCTGCTATTTGTCGGGATTCCATAATTTGAGCCCGCTAAACAAAGTAATATGGAAAAACTATGATTCTCCTCAATCTCCAGGATGGTTCCATCTTCTCATGATCGCACAAACAAATTTCTCTTCATCTTTTTGCCTACGCGTTTATGTTACCTTTCAACCGCTTTCTAATTTCACGGTTCCTTCAACATCCTTGCATACATGTCTCCGGCTTGTGTGCTCAAATGTCTTTACCAACTACAAAAGCTGTTAAACCATTTCCCTCCTTCCCTCTGAAAGCAGTAAAACGAGCAATTTTCTTTAAAACCTTTCGCATAGAGGAACTTTTCTCGACTAGTCGTGTCTACTCTTTTACGACATCATATAAACTTTGAGAAGACAACGCTCAGCTTGGTCTAATCCATGCTGGCTTCTTTCTTGTCAAGCCTGGTCCTGACTAGATCCCACCTATTCACTCGTCATCAACACTACCAATTTCTGTGTGCCTTTCTTCATATTAGAACATACTTTTCACTCAACACTTCAGCCATAAACGAGTATGCCTGCTCCCTATTGTGCGAAATGATTGTCACTGTTGTAGGATCCGACGCCTCTTTGGTCATGCTCACTCTTTGAAGGACATTTTTTGGACATGGTACCAACTGAGGAAATGTTATACCCTCTTCTGGCATGCCAGTTGGAATTTCGGCGCAGATAGAACAGCAAATGAGCAAAGAACACTGGATCTTTATATTTGACCAACCCTGTTCGTGTGCATATGTTCATATGTGTTTGTATACGTGTGTATGTGTGGAAATACTTTGATCCGTTTGTCTCCTTGCCTTCCTGTCTTTCTGGTTGTCTGCTTGCGTGTCTAATAATCTCATTTGTCCTTGCCTATCTATATTTTCATATTTCTATTTTCGTGTCGGAATCTATACGGCCCTAGCTGTGACAAATTCTCAAAAATATCCATCTATAACTATTTCATGATGCCTGCTTTTTATGACGCCATCTGTTCACCACATCTTTTGACATATTTTCCTGCAAAGATCCCATGTTTAACATGAAGATAGGCGGGCAAGTTACCTCTCCTTTCAGTGTTTTGCCATCTCTTATATAAATGATCACCCTTTTATGCCCCTCTCTTGTTCCTTATAAAGTACTCACGCAACTTCTTTTTATTGAAACAATATTTGCACGAATGGATGAACCTTGCCATAAGCAACCCATTTTTTTCTGTTTTGTGTCTATGCCACAGAACAATGTGGCTTACCCTATTAACCTTGTTGAAGAGAGTTATTTTAAAGAAAACGTGACTGTACGGCTGAGTTCAGTAAACTGGCAAGGTTGTATACACTTCTTGCTTAAATGGGTGCTATTCAGTCGATAGCACCCCAGGATGAAGGTAGAGGAATGGAGGCATTCGAGTAAGCCTATGACGTGACACGAAACAGGGGCAGAAGACGCCTTATTCCACTGTCAGGAAAAAACAAATCGGCAACCACACAACCGGTGCAAACCCCATTATCGGTACATTAATGGTCTCTCTAGGCGACTATAAACAAAATTCCCCGCTGTCATGTTATATGCCAAGCCAAGTGAAAAACGTTCATTTGCCTTCCCATCGACATCAACAAAACAGCTGCTTGGCATGGCATATTTGGGCTGTATTCGAGACGGTCATTGGGTTGCACTATGCGGAGGGATAGAAACCAAACTCTCTGAGGGCTTTAATCCATGCCTCAAACATCATTACTCTTCACATCCTTCTCAACATAACAACTCGTGTCCGCCTGAGCTCCGTGTTGTACTTTGCCTTGATGTATTTTGTATTCTGTTTACCTTGTTTGGCCCCTATTTGTTGTAATGTCTAGCTGTCGGGTCACAGGCTAGCTCGTCTGCATAATTTACGAGGCCACGATTGAGTCGAGTCTTTTAAAACATCCAACTTTAATAGTAATTTCTTTCCGGCTAAATGAGAAAGAGAGTGACTGAATGCACTAAGGAGATAAGCCGATATTTTGTGTTTTGGCCTACTGACCTAGGTCAGACACTTTTTTCAGGTTTCTTCATTCGCCATGTCAGGTGTGAGAGTAATACTTGGAAGAGTCCGACTGGCATCGCTTACGGTTGATTCCTGTTAGAACTCTGGTGGATCTGTAGATGAACTTCAACCCGCACGATGATACCCCAGGAACCAACTGTTTGCCCCGGGATCAATGCGTCTACTGCTTCGTTTGTGCTGCCATGTTATTTAAGTTATAGAGCACGCTGCGTACATAAGCTTCGTTTTCCCTCTCAAGTCCCTTTTATATTGAGGCATTCTCTAAAACAAATTGCCATTAAACCCCTTGAGACCTCTTTTCGTACCTGAGTCATCTGTGTTCACCTTGAACTTTCAATCAAGTAGTTTGTTCCTGCGGCAGACACTAGATTTACTAAAGACCATTTTAGTGAACAACATTAATGTATGAACCTAAGTCGCAACATACTAGATGTTATGTGTATCAGTTTCCATGATACGATTGCAAAACCGACCTCTTGATACAGGCAGGCGGCACACAGGAATTGTGAAATGAAAAAAATCAGCTTAAAATGCGTATGACTGGCTTATTCTGCCAGACGACAGAGATCGTGACACCTAGTTACCATTCCCGCAAAAGTATCGGGACGCTTTAACTCTGAATTATTCGAGTATACGACAATTCTGTAATCCCCTTCCTCTATGTGCTCGTATATTCGCCAAGATCATGCGCTAATTCCATCAACTCAGCCAGTCTGAGCTTGCAGGCTGCGTTTTCCTGAGTTAAAATTCTCTAACATTTTTCACGGCCCTAACCGATTTTATTAATTTCTTTACTTCCAGTTGCCAACATTTTTCAATTTTTGGGGCATTCGTCTTTTCTTAGTCAATCGGATCCTAGAGCTCTTAACCAT